TCTCGAAAAAACCCCAAAACAACAAAAAAACAACAGAATGAGGGTGAAAGAATTTAGGAGATAAATTTTCTATGTAAATAGTAACTTTTAGAATTAACTTTAATAGGGCTGGAGAGATGACTCAGAGGTTAAGAGCACTGACTGTTCTTCCAGAGGTCCTGAGTTCAATTCCCAGCAACCACATGGCGGCTCACAACCACCTTGAATGAGATCTGGTGCCCTTTGCCGGCATGCAGGCAGAAGACTGCATACATAATAAATAAATAAATAAAATCTTAAAAAAAATTAACTTTAATAGTCACCTTGGAAATAGGAAACTTTTAAGAGTAATAGTTATTTTTAAAAGGATATGCCTGTAACCCCAGCACTCTCAAAGTAGAGGCAATAGGATAAGTAGTTCAAGGCTACAAAGATTGTCAAGAAACAACAAAAAGTCAAAGGAACAAGCACTATGTTTAAATTAGCTAGCATTCCTCTACTCCATTCCACTTGTAGTCACTAACTTGTCTAGGCTGTTTTAAATTCTAATATCAAAAAATTAAGTGTGGCTTAAGCATAGAACTTAAGCATAGACTGTTCTTTCAGTCATCAGAACATGTACATTTGCACCTTAAATCTGTAGTTTCCTATTACTGTATTAATACAGTAATTAGTATAGTAATACAGTAGGTCAGAAATTCTTACCTACGGGTTCTGAAAGTTCCATGCTAACAGCTGAGTTTGAACCTAGAGAAAAAATTGAAACACAATACATATTCATAAAACAGTTTCTAATTTTACACAGTATAGACGATGTAATGTTTTCTTGGTTAGACATTAAAAAAATTACCTTCACACAATAATGACTGTTCTTGAGAGGATTCCACAGGTGCTGGTTAAGAAAAGTAAGTTCTATTAGAAATTAAGCTCTATCTTATTTACTTATCTTTTAACATACAATCAAGTAAGAGCAGAAGTTCAATAAACATATCACAAACCTCAGAAACTCAGAACAATGGCAGCTAACTTGGGTTTTCAAATCAGAAATCTGTTTAGCTTACTTTTAAAAACTATACCAATTGCATACAACTAAACAAAAAATCCAGGCACCAGCAAGGTGGTTCAGCAGGCAAAGAGCTCACCACTCAAACCTGACAACCTGAGTTCAATCCCTTGAGTTCACATAAAGACGGAAGGAGAAACCCAATTCGAAAAGCTGTCCTCTGGCCTCCACAAGTGTGCCGTAGCATATTCACACCTGCACTTATACAAGATGGTAATTTAAAAACTCTACAGACAGCAGCCAACTTCCAATAATGGAAATGTATTAAAAATGTTAGTCCTATTTTCCAATCTTTTCTCCACAGATATTATAAATGTAACACAAAGTCTAGAACAAATATAATTAGTTGGACTGTATTCAATATGCCTCTTCTCTACTTCTCTTCTGATAATCCTCCAACCCAAGAAAGCCGTGACGGCAATGTTATCAAATCCCCAAGTCATTTGATACTAAGATAAATGGCAATTGTGTGAAGCCTCTGGAATACATAAACATATTCGGGAAAGGTGATTCTTGCCCAATGTAATCCCAGCACTCCGGAGGCAGAGGCATGATGATCTCTGGGTTCAGGGTCCATCCTTGTCTACACAGCTAGTTCTGTAGTTCTGGTACAGACAGAGCTACAAGGAGAAACCATGTCTCAAAATTATTTTGTTTGTTTCAAGACAGAGTTTCTCTGTGCAGCTTTGGCTGTCATGGAACTCACTCTATAGACCTGGCTGGCCTCTGTCTCCCAAGTGCTGGGTGTGTGCTACCCCTGGGCTCATAGGATCTCACAGACTCTGGAACAACAGCTAGGGAGCCTGCATGGAACCAGCCTGGCTATGTGTGTGACAACTGTATAACTTTGTCTAGTTTGTGGGACTCCTAGCAGTGGGATCGATGACCTGTCTCTGGTGCCTGAGCAAATTTTTGGGAACCTATTCCCTATGCTGCGTTGCTTTGACCAGCCTTAGTACAAAGGGAGGAGCTTAGTCCTACACCTTAACTTGATATGCCATGCTTCGCTGACACCCATGGGAGACCTGCCCCTTTCTGGTCAGAAGTAGAATGGATGGGAGATGGTGGCGGCAATGGGACGAGGGGGGAGAGGGGAAGTTGTGATGGGTATGTAAATAAAAACAATTTAACTTAAAAAAAAAAGAGGTATGTGCCACCACTGTCTGACCAAAATTATTTATTTACTTGTTTATTTATCTATTTTTGGTTTTTCAAGACAAGGTTTCTCTGTAGTTTTGGAACCTGTCCTGGAACTTGCTCTGTAGACCAGGCTGGCCTCAAACTCACAGAAATCTGCCTGCCTCTGCCTCCTGACTGCTGGGACTAAAGTGTTCCACCACTGCCTGGCTTTTTTTTTTTTTTTTTTTTTTTTTTTTTTTTTTGATTCTGATGAAGTCAGAATTCTTAGAATTCTAAGATCAAGCAACAGTTAAGTTTGCAGTTGTTAAACTGCAAATCTTCTCTGGCATCCCTACAGAGCTATAGGAGAAATTTATATGCTGCTACCCAAATATGTGAGTCTGATCTCTTTGTCCCTGAACAGCACAAATGATACTGTTAAAGATTTTCCAAGATGTGGAAACACACCAAAGGATTTGAAGTCATATGACATACAACATTAATAGTGAATTTGTAACCTACAAATTGCATCTTTAAAACCATTGCCCAGAATGTATTAACAAATACAGAATCAATACAGTGAGATGGGTGTGGCAGTACATGCCTCTAATCCCAGAATTTAGGAGATAGAAGCAGTTAATAAGGAAATCTAAAGCCAGCCTAGGTTTCAGGAGATTGTACTTGGGGGGAGAAAAAAATATATATATATATCACCTTTAATACCATCAAAAGTTGAGGAAAGTATTTCCTGTCCCTGATAAAGGATAGTCAAGTTTACTGTCACTATGACTATAACTATTGTTGTCTGTCAGCACTAGAGATCAAACCTAAGACCTAGTGCTTGCTAGGTGTGTATGTGCATGAATGTTTTGCCAGCATGCATGTATGTGCTGCACATGCCTGACTGTTCCTGACTGATCCCCTGGAACAATGTAGTTATAGTCACCATGTGGCTGGCTGCTGGGAACTGAACCTGGGCCCTTTGCAAGAGCAGCAAGTGCTTTTAACCACTGAACCATCTTTCCAGCCTCTTTCTCTTTATTTTTTGAGACAGGGTCTCTCACTGAACCTGGGGCCCATTGATTAGAGTAGAATGGTTAAACTAGCAAGTCCATTCCCTGCCATTCCTGTGGTTAGTATTATAGGCATGTGCACAGGCTTTTTATGTGTCTACTGGGGTTGATCTTGAGTCCTCATACTTGAGCAGCAAGTGCTTTTCAGACTCAGCCCCAGCCCTAGGAAAATCATTTTAATTTGGGACACCATTGTTGTATGTACAGGTATACTCGAACAACTTCCCCCACATAGAATTATTTTATCTTTCAAATAAATCCAAGTATGTTTCTAGATGTATGTAAGTAAGCACAGAGGTATGCACAGGGTGAGTGTGGAGGCTGGAGGACAACCTCAGGTGTCATTCTCAGGAATGCCACCCACCTCCTTTGAGGTGGTCTCTCATTGGCTTGGAGCTGTCTAGTGAGCCCCAAGGCTCTTCCTGTCAACATCTCCCCAGAGCTGGGGCTGCACACCTCACCATGCCTGGCATTTTTATGTGGTTTCTGGAGGGTTGAACTTGGGGCAACAAAGCAAATATTTTATTGACTGAGTTATTCCCCAGACAGAATTAGTCCATTTGAAAATACTTGATAAAGGTGTGTTTCTGATTTGAGGCCAGCCTGGTCCAAAGAGCAAGTTCTAGGACATCCAGGGCTGCACAGAGGCACCCGGTCTCACAAAACAATACAACAAAAAGGTGTGTTTCTGAAAATGGAGATATTATTGGAAAACTTGAAGCCTTAACCTCATTCCTTAGAATGCTCTCTGGCTGCTTTCAGGAGCAAATCTAAACCATGCAGGATTTAAGAAAATAAGTCCCAGTGTTTGTGTAACCATGAACCAACAAATGGATTCTAAACCTAGGAAAATTAAGTCCAAGCTTATTAGTAGCCAGTAGACTTTCTATGTCATATGCAGTATGAATAATACCAGAATAAAATGAGTGATCAAAGATTTATTGCACATTTGGGATAACTGGGTATAAATATATTTAAAGAACATTTTAAAACATTTAAACATTCCAAAAACATTGGATCACACATTTCACCAGCCTTGCCATTAGGCTTTTGTGATCAAAGGTGGAAAACTGTGGGAAGCTATGGTCAACTTACATTGGAGTCCTTTAATTTCATCATTTCATGCATATTAAACACTTCACTAATTCTGGCACTTGATGCTTGTGGTGGTTCATAGGGAGTGGCACTCTTAGGAGGTGTGGCCTTGTTGGAGGAAGTGTGATTTATTCTTTTCCTGCTGCCTGCAGATCCAGATATAGAACTCTCAGCTCCTCTAGCACCATTTCTGCCTGCCTATCTGCCTCCATGCCCCGCCATAATGATAATGGCTTGGAGATGTCTAGTGAGCCCCCAATGTTTTCCTTTATAAGAGTTGCCATGGTCATGGTGTCTCTTCACAGTAATGGAGCATGGATTAAGACAATGCTTTCTTGTCCATGATCTTAAATGTCAAATTGTAGAGTAGCTTGAGAAATAAAACCATGTAAGGATTGGTGTTGTGCTGTATTAGTCAGCCATGGAGGCAGTCTCAAGACAGACTTTCTTCTCCTAAGAAGTTCCCTACAGTCTTAGCCACATAGTCTAAGTGTAAATAGTACTAGGACCTAAGTGGTCAAGTACAAGTACTGCTTGATTTTGAAATGCTCAGTTACAGTTAGGGATAGCTCAAGTATGACTCTACTAGTCATCTCGGTGTTTTTCCTGTCTAAACAGATTTCATTCACTGTAATTGGCATCACAGTTTAGTATAGAGTTAAACAGGATTTTCAACAGGGCTATTTAAAAAAGAGGCAAAATGGACTTGTATATCTTAGGAAGAGTGCACAATTAATTGTAGTGTGCCTGTGTATTAAGTGGCAATCATTGTATCTATGTCATAGGACTTTTTGGAAGTTTAAAATAATATAATAAAATTCACATGTAAAGACCTAGGAAAAGCCCAGCTTCGGTGGCGCACACACAACTTTAATCCCAGCACTTGGGAGGCAGAGGCAGGTGGATCTCTGTTGAGTTTGGTCTTTACAGAATGAGTTCCAGGACATCCTCCAAAACAATACAGAGAAACCCTGTCTTGGAAAAAAAAAAAAAAAAAAAAAAAAAAAAAGTTCTTCAGAATGGAGCAGCAATATACTCCTGTAAATCCCAGTCACTCCACAGGCTGCAGGAGGAGGACTGAAAGCTCAAGGCCAGCCTCAGCTTAAAACAGAAAAGCAAAAAAGGGCTGGTAAATGGCCTATCAGGAAAGGCACTTAGCACACAAGCCTGGTGATTGGAGTTTTTTTGCTCGGGTGCAGTTCAGTGGTAGAGCAACTGTGTCCCGAGTTAAAATGATTCTCCTAGGACTGGGGCTGGGGCTGAGTCTGAAAAGCACTTGCTGCTCAAGTATGATGACTCAAGATCAACCCCAATGGCCACATAAAAAGCCCATGCACATACCTGTAATCCCTACCACAGGAATGGCAAAGAATGGACTTGCTGGTTTTGCCAGTATAGTCTAATCAGTAGGCCCTGGGTTCAGTGAGAGACCCTGTCTCAAAAATTAAGAGAAAGAGGCTAGAGATAGCTCAGTGGTTAAGAGCACTTGCTGCTCCTGCAGAGTGCCCAGGTTCAATTCCCAACAATCACATGGTGGCTCAC